CTCCTGGACTCTTCCCAAGTGGCTCAGGTCCTGCGGGAGAGGAAAGGCCCCGTGCCTCCGGCAAAAGATGCGGTTCCCTTTCCTGCTCCCAAGGCAGGCAGGGAGAAGACCTGACAGGGGGGAGTTTCCAGGCCCAGAGACATAAGAAGGTCTTTGCTCTTTCCCCCTGCCTGCCCCTGGAGAGTCCCCATGGTTGGCCAGGCAGCTGGTCAGGAGTGGCCGTGCCTCCCCTGCTGCTTCTCTTCCATTCAAGACCCCTTGGATGGCCTCTCCAACGAAGAAGAAGAGGAGAAGGAGGAGGAGGAGGAGAAGAGGAGGAGGATTGGATTTATTCCCCACCCTTCTCTCAGAGCGGCTGACAAACTCCTTTCCCTTCCCCTCCCCACAACAGACACCTCCTGTGAGGTGGGTGGGGCGGAGCGAACTGACACAAACTGCTCTTTCAGGAACAGCTGTGCCAGAACTATGGCTTGCCCAAGGTCACCCAGCCGGGTGCAAGTGGAGGAGTGGGGGAATCAAACCCGGCTCTCCCAGATTACAGTCCGCACACTTAACTACGACACCAAACTGGCTGGGGGAGGGGCGTCCCAGTGGTTGCTAAAGCCATTGCAGCTTTGCAGACTCTGGGCAAATTTGTCTGGCCTTTTCCAGAAAGCAGGGAAGGAAGCCGGCAGGAGCCGAGGGGGCAGGTCATGGGGCCCGGAGCAGGCCCGGCCCAAGGGCATCGCTGGCCCAGTGGTGACACTGTCTCCCCCACAGGGCTTAGTCCTCCCCGGGGCAGCTTCTGGCTCCTCCTTGCCCCTGGGCCAGAGCCCTGCAAAGCTTTGGCAGCCACGGGGGTGGGGGTGGGGGGAGGAGGGGAGCGGTCCCCTTGGGCCAAAAGACGACCTTCCCTCGGGCCACTTGGAAGGCCAACCGGAGGGGAGAAGAATTTCCTTCTTCTTCGCTCTTAATTCTGGGATCCTTTGCAGCAGATGAAGTTTGCCGTCTCTCTCCTAAATGTTTCTTCCGAGGGCTTGGGGCTTCCTCCTCGTCTAATCATAACAAATGTTTTTAAAATGTATCTTAATGTGGTAGTTAATTGATCATTTGATGACTGTTTAAACATCTGGCAGAGGGCTGGTGGGGGCACAGCTGGGGAGTGCCGGGAAAGCCTCCCCACAGGGGGACGGAGGGGGGG